GTGCGGGGACTGCTTGTTCCGGTCAGGCCGAGGAGAACAAAGCCCGGAGGGAGCTGCAGCTGGAGCAGGAGGAGAAGCTGGCGGCAGAGCTGGCGAGGCTGAACCACGAGAAACTTAAAGACGAGAGGATGAGGCAACAAATAAGACAGAACAGGTAACGCTTTACAGATCTCAGACCTTTGTTTAGCTAGCCGCTGCTGTAAATCAGTCCCAGCGCTGAAAAGTGCGCTTATGGAGGTGTTCGGCCTGTCGTGTGCTTGCTTTATGTCCTGACTGCATTGGGACTGAGCCTTAGATGCAGTGAGATTGTAGCCCGGGAGCTTTTCAAGCAACAGAGGCAGTTCTAGTGTGCTGCAATCAGACACGTACCTTATGTTTTAGAAGAGGCTTTAACTTTCTAAATCTGTGCAGCAGAGAAGATCGTAGCTGGAAAAAGCCATGGGAAAAGGCTGATTTTGAGCAGTGGTTGGGAGAAGGCCGTGGCCAGAGCAGTGGCTGCCGGTGTCAGAGAGTTCTCAGAGACGGGTGGTGGAGGTGAATGTGGGACAGGGGAGGGCTGGGAGGTGGGACACGGCTGTGCCCTCGGCGGGGCGAGACACACTGTGTGAAAGTTGTAGCAGAAGCAAAAATGAGCTTGAGCTGGGAGGAGAAGTTATTGTAAGAGTAAGGTGTGACAATAAGGTATTTCTAGGCAAATTTTGTCAATAAGGGAAAAACTCTCCACGAAAGGTTTGTTTTGAACATATGTTTATGTATATACTTAGTTACACGTTTCTGTAAGCACGTGTGTTCATACACGTATGTGCATATTTATGCAGCTGGATGTAGAGTATGCACAACTACTGACAGCATGGGCAGAGATACAGATAACTCTTGTTTTAAAACAGGCTTTGTTTTCTTTTTCTGCTTTTGCTAGAGCAGTATTTGTCATCTAAAATCAGGAGTTTCTCTGAAAAATATTTCTTTAGGTTGTGTTTAAGCAGTGATGGAAATGCCATTTTTCCCCATAGGTGCTTCCTTGTAAGAGGATAAATGTCTGATCTCTTTATCTCCCCAGTCTTGAACTTCGGGAGCTGGACAAGAAGCTGAAATTCGCCTACATGAACAAGGAGCGAGCTGCACAGATCGCCGAGAAGGCAGCTCTGCAGTATGAGAACATGGTAATGAGCTGCACCCGAGTGCTGGGACCCGTTGTAGGGATCGTGCTGAGCACCCTTCCTTTGCCACTGAGCTTTCTACCTACAACAGCATTCGGGGTGTGCTGAAATGGGGGTTGTGTTATCAAGGACCAATTATCTGTCAATGACGAGCTATAGAAAAGGTTTGCTTTGCTGCTGCGATCAAAGTAGCAGAATAAAGCTGTGTGAATGGACAGTTTTTATTTTACTGGCTTTGTAATAGTTAAAATTGTGACACACTGTGCAGAGCAAGTGCTTATTGTAGTGAATCCTTTCCTCCGAAGCAGATTGTTGAAAATGTTGCTACTACACATCTATCTGACCAACTTCAGAGAGAACTGCGAACTTGTATTTATGTGTCAAATAACACGGGTGATCGGGCAGATGATTCTGATTCCACAAATGGTTTATACAAAAGTCAGTTTACGCAAATTGCTCTAGAGACAACAGTTGACTGAGGATGTTCTGTGGCATTAACCCCCATTCCAGTCATTAAGCTGATACTAGTTTTGCTCATGCTGAATGCTCTGCTTGGTCTTCATTCAACACACAGCTTCCTTAAAGTATTGTTGGTTCCTCTCAAGTTGTTTAGATATTGAGGGTTCTCTTCGAGGGTTCTGCTTACTGAATTAAGCTATTAGGCATGTTCAGGCACTGCATTTATAGGCTGAGGTGGAAAACATTCCTTTTTTTGTAGTGCAGAGTAATTCCTTTTTATACTGTGTATGTTTTCATCACAAGTGGTATTAGTGGGAGTAAAAAGGAATCTTGCATTGCTTTTCTCCCCATAGATACGTGAGGGTGAAATAGCTCAAAAGATGAAGGAAGAGCACGAAAGGGCAGTGAAAGAAGAAAGTACTGCAGAACTGAGGCGAAAGGAGGAGAAAATAACTTATCACAGAGAACTGGAGAAACAGATTGAGGAACAAGAGAGGAAGAAGCAGGATGCTTATGAAGAGTTTCTAAGAGAGAAACTTGTGATTGATGAAATTATAAGAAAGATCTATGAGGAAGACCAAATGTTAGTTACTTTGAATTTTTATTGTTTATTCATTTGAAACAAACTAATTCATGCACTTCTCTATAGAAAACTAGTTTGTATACATTTATTTCATAGGCTAAGGCCCATTTTAGTTTTCTGTGGTCACATTTTACTAACAAGAGACTGACTGTTGGATTTTGCTGTATAAACATCAGAGTGTCCCAGCCAGTCTCGCATCCTTGTTCCCCAAACACAAAACCAGCTGATTTCAAGGTGTGTTTCCATTGGGCCCATTGTGCTGGAACTGGCTGCATGTCACCAATTCCTGCCTCTCTCGCCTCCTGTCCCTGCCTCTTTGTGAGAGGTGTCGTGTGCCTGTCTTATGGACAGGGAGAGGGACGGAGGTTCCTGAGGGCAGGGTGGCAGTGTCTGTGTGGTGGGGAAGCATTTAGGATAGATAAAAAGTGTAGGAGATGCTGGTGCCGTGAGGCTACTGGGCTTCCTCCTCTTTCTGATCTGACAGAGTGTGTATGAAATGCAGTGAGTACCCGTGTGTGCAGTCTGTCCTCCTGAAGAAAGGGGTTAGACATGAGATTCCTTTTTTGGGGCAATTCATAAATAAGTATGTTCAATTTAAATGGGTATGGAGAATCATTAAATCTTAGTCTCTGGAACGTTGTTAGCGATGAGCTAACAACAAAGTCTGTTTAACATGACTTTGCACCATGTTAAATAAAACATTTTTTTCCATCTTCTGCAGGGAAAAGCAACTGAAGTTAGATAAAATGAGAGAAACTCAGGCACATATTGAAGAATACAAAAAAGATCAAGCTATCTGGGCGAGAAGGAAACAGGAAGAGATGGAAGAAGAAAATCGGAAAATTATGGAGTTTGCCAACATTCAGCAACAAAGAGAAGAAGACTGGATTGCTAAAGTTCGAGATGCTGAGGAGAGAAAACAAAGAGTTCGAAGCATGGTACCAACACTGCAATTGTAGAAAAAAGATTCTTGTACACTCTTGTCTTTCATTTAGAAATCTTTCCTTCTTGTGACAGATTGCCCAGAATCTGGAAAGAGAACAACAGAAGCGTGAAGAGCAAGAACAGATCCTCCAAGAGCTGTATCTGGAAGAACAAGAGGAAGCAGAAAGGAAGAAGGAGATGGTAAGTGCTGGCAGGTAGATGAAGTAAAACCTGTGCAGTGGGGAAGAAAGAGAGTATTTTACTTTCACTGGGCTTCTGCAAATACATGGATATTGTTGTACTTGTCAGATACCATGGTTTTTAATACATCGTATGTATGTTAATGTGTGTCTGTGCATGAACTGTTAAGGGAAAATGCAAGTGGAGAGAAGGTTATTGCAGCTTTGCTGTAATTCCTCCAGAACGTTCAGGCTAATGGAACTGGTCTGGATGAAACCTCTGTAAAATAAGAATAGTGGTTATGCAGGAAAACATGTAGTTTATGGAACACTTGCAGCTGTGGGCAGGCTAGTCTAATTTAAACAGACCAGGTATGAGAATGTAAAGAGAAAATGAAACCTTTGAATCGCTGATCTAGAAGATACGGAATAAAGTGAATGCAAGGGCAGTATTTTACATCCCTTCACTTCTTCTGACATCTTTGTGATGGAGCAGTGCTCCTTCAGCCTTTGGACGTGTCACTGGAGTTGTGATGCTTTAAGAACATTGAGTGGGAGTTTCCCAAAGTATGTTCAGTAACAGAGCCTTTGGTTACATTTCCTTTACAGGCAGAAATAGAAAAGAGACTAAGGCAGCGCCTAGACTTACGTCAAGCATACGAAGAGCAACTGGCTCTGAAGGCAGCCGTGCGACAAGCTACGCAAGAAGAGGAACAAGCCTTCAGACAACAGATGTTGGCCAAGTTTGCGGAGGACGATCGCCTTGACCAGATGAATGCTCAGAAACGAAGAATGAAACAGCTTGAACACAGGAGGGCAGTGGAAAAACTTATTGAAGACCGTCGCCAACAGTTTGCTGCAGATAAAGTAAGAGTTTTCACATTCACCTTCGGTTGGAGCCACAGGGTTTCAATATAAGAACACTCCCGTTACCTGAAGCGACAAGGCTGTTGTTACTAGGGAAAGGTGACAGGGGACTTGCAGAGAAATGGGCAGGGGAAGCAGGCTTTTGTTTTGGTTTGCTGACAAGAGCAAAAAGTCATCTTCAAGCTAACTTTTTCTGGTAGCACAAGTCAGCAACAACCACAGAGCCCTGAATACCTGACGTGCTCTGCAGATCCCTCCTCAGGAGCCATGGGGTCAGTGGCACAACTGGTGCATTGCACTGATAATGATGCACGAGAAGGGGCACTCCCAGCCTTGGCTTTAGATTAAGTCTCTCGAATTATCATCTGAGGAGGAAAAGTGTAAACTGAAAACAAGTCACGGAATCCTCTGCTGTGGTTTTTGGACCCGTTTGTAGGGTATAAGCCACGTGTGCAGCGTGAATTGCAATTTCTAGTCAGCAGCATGAGACTATGTGCCTGACTCTCCTTTTCTTGGATTAGCAAAGTAGGGCAGGAAGAGCCTAACTTGTCTGAGAGCCAGGGAGGAACCAAAACTTGACGCTTAACTGCCTCGAAAAGGGCTTCCAGTATGAGCCCACACACTTACCCAGCAGACCAGCCCTGTGTCTTGCCTTCAGTCTTCTCTTTTCTCTGACCTTTTTTGCTAGTTACCAAGCCCGTATTGTTTAATTGTGTTTTTTACACGCACTTTTCCACCCCTTTCAAATGAATGTCCTGTGACCAGGAGTTGGTAAGTGGGAGTTCAGAATTTACTCCACTAAGGAACTTCTCTTTCTGCTGTGGTGGATATTGGTGGAAGCAAATGTTCAGAGAGCTGCAACTGCACGGTTATGAGAACTTGTTTATTGTAGGAGCGGGAACTGGAAGAAAGACAGTTAGAGGTGAAGAGAGAAGAGAAGTTCCGGGCAATTGTTGAAGAAGAGAGACAGAAACTCTTGAGGGAGCATGCGTCTAAATTACTGGGTTATCTTCCTCCAGTAAGTGAATTGCATTTTCAGTGCTTTAAATGTTTGTCCTGTGAATCAGTTTAAGGTGAAGTTGCGGAGCTGTGTGAATTCCTGGAATCGGCCCTTTATTGTGTCAGCTCCCCTGAGCTCACCCTTTCCTTTTTCTGTCTTTTTGATTTGGGAAGTGATTTACCAAAATGCTTTTCCTGTACGAGGGGGATTTGGGCTCTACTGCGATGCTGATGCCTTGTACAGAGCTTGCTGAAAGCTCCTACAGTGTTTTGCATGTCCAGTTTCTGGAATGTGGCATGGAAGTTCTAGAGCAGGGTTCTGCTACCTGGAAAGGGTCTGCTGTATCTTAAGCCCCGTTTCCACCACGCTTCTCGGTTGGGGTCTGGGGAGTGATTTCTTACAGTGTTGGCTTCTCCTCCGAGTCTTCTGCTCCCACAGGAACAAGGCCTTGGCTCTGCTGCATTTCAAAGCTCCCTGCATCCATCCATGTGTTTTTCAGAGTTAAAAAGATGGAAGCAGTTACTGCAATAGGAACAAACTGCAGTTTATTTTGTATTACACTTTGCAATCAGAAGGATCACCTGGTGGGACACAAATGAACAGGGAGCTGCTGTAGGGATGTACAAATGCATTTACATTTCTTAGTCTTTAAAGAAATTCTTCAATGCTGGAAAGCATTGTGAATGGAGTGTGATTTTAATTCAAATAATACACTGATCTGGTCATGAATTCATAAAATTTGGAGTGATTTGTTTTCTCATGTAGATTTCGTAAATAATTGGCAATATTCTGGTATAGTTTTCTGGTTTGAATCTGTTGCTGTAGGAAGTCTTGGTGATGTCAGTGTCCAGGGCTCATGGTTGCTGCATCCTGTAGTCGTACATCACGTTACTTCACTCAAAATGGTTAAACAGAAAAGTGCTAATTCTAAAGTCCCCAATATAAATGCAATTTGTAATTTATTTTTTTCCTGAAGCGCTGCCTCAAGTGTGTTCTGTGGGTCATACACATTTTTAGCCCTAAAATTAATGGAGAATTAGTTAGAGATTCCGATTGCTGGGTTCCCTTGCTTCCCCTCCCAAAAACGTAGTTTCTGATGAAGTTGTTCAGCATCAGTTGATTTCCAGAATACCCTCTTTGTGTGGGCTAGTTCCGCACAACTAAAGGTGGAGACAGAGCCCTGCCCCAGCCAGAGCCTCCCCGGGGCAGCTGCTTGATTCCACTGGCTTGTGCTGTGGCGACTGTGACCGCTGCCATTAGGAGAGGAACACAGATGGATGTTGTCTTTTGTGCACTGCTCACGCTGGAATCTTTGCGGGGTTCTTGCCATCGTTTATGTGAAGAACAAAAGAGGCACTTCTAGGTCAGCACCCAGCACGCCCGTTTGAACTCAAAGTCGTGTGTGAAGTTTTGGGACAGTTTTCAGGGCTGTTTGTTGTAAAGGTGACACTGGAACCAGGATACAAGCTACGACACTCCCTTTCCTATAAAAGTTCAGAGATCTCTCTGTGTTTTACCTTCCAGCGTGTGTTTGTTTCCCCTTACTGCAGGGAATACTCAGAGATGAAGGCGACATCGACATGCTTGGAGAGGATTTTAAACTGGCGTATCAGAAGAGAAGAGGCAATGCGCTTCCACCAGAGAGCTGAAACTTCCCCCCTCTCATCTCCGGGTTTGCCACTAGGTGTCAGCGGATTTCTAATGAAAACTTCCATTTGCTGTTAACAGTCAGGAACTCCTTTCTAGCACCGTAACAAGTCTCCATTTTAAGATGAGCTCTCAACTGATGAGCATTTAGCTTTGCATTTTTCCTCAATAAACTATTACAGAGTGCTCAATTAGTCTCAGTCAGTGCTGTAGCAGTGTTAAAAACGGCTTCTCCAGCAACTCTGCAGAAACCTAAGCTAGTGCAAATTCACGTTACAAGATTCTATTAATGCACTATTTCTGTTTGTAACTTAAAGATTTATCTATGCTGGCATTATGCTACTAAAATACTAATCCAGATGTAGCTACATCTCATCTCAGAGGGGTATGTCTGAGTTAGTTGTTTCACTGTTAAGTCCTGTTACTTTGCTGGTAGGACCTAAGCAGAGATGTTTTTCCATTCTGAGGTCAGAAGCACCATTTATACCTTTCTTTCAGTGCATAAACCTACTGTTTATCTGGCTTGTTCCTGTTCAGTTACTCTGAGGGAGGAATCTACTAAAATAGCTGAGGCTTGGCCAAGGCTCATTCAAGCAGCACCAACTTTTATTGCTCCTGTGCATTAATGAACAAACACAAGATACACTCAGCTCATCTACACCTAAATTTTTATCTAGTTCTTAATTATAATGATGACATAATGAAATCTCTTGCTTGCAGAGCACCTGTGAACAGGGGGCCACCACTCCCGACTGCATCCCAAAGGAGCAGCTCTTGGCCAGGGAGAGACTTAATGTTTTCACCTTGACTCAAGTGTCAGTTTTACAGAATAGGGCTGTAGCAGGTTTTGCCAGCCAGGGTGCAAGATGTAACAGCTAAAACAACGTATGGTCATTTCTATAAAAGAGCTGGTGGTGCTTAAATTAGATGCCAGACCAACCAGCTCTGAGGGGAGATCTGTTACAGGGAACAGACAAGGCCAATTTTCCAACCACGTGTTTTAAAAAGGACATGACATTTTCTTCTCAACTGGATCCCAGGGTAATTTATTTCTGTTCCAACAAGGAATTTTCTGAGACTAAACCTTGACTTCTCGGGACAGAATATTACCTTAGATAAAGTCCAGTTTAAAATGCTAAAACAGAGCAAACTGATAACTAAGTTCACATGTTGGAATATTCCTTGCACAGTCTCTGCTTTTCCACTCATTCCAGAATGGACAGTTTGGCCTGAAACTTCAGTAGAGGTTTGTATTTCATGTGATAATGCAACACAAGCTCTCAGGCTTACAGGAGTTAAACAATTTAAACATAAGCAAAACCAACAAGATCAATTCACTGGGATATACAGGTAGTAACTATTAACAAGCATTCCTATATGGTGCCAAAATACTGTACCATCCAACTCTTATTCCAAACGGAAGTTGGTTTTATGGAGTCAATGATTTCCCCAGTCAAGAGCTTTCATGAACTCCTCTTCAGTAAAAGAAAGCATCTTAGCAGCTTCAATGTGCATCTTAAAAAGAAAGAAAGGAAATAAACGTAGGAGCAGAAGGTAGAACAGTGTGAGTGACCAGTACAAAATCCTGTCTAACTGGGACAGCTGGAAGGGGCCTCAAATCGATCATTCCTTTTGCTTTTGTACTGTGGGTTGGGTGGATGTTCCCTTGTTCCAGCTGAAGCAGCTACTTCTATTTTTCCTGCAAAAATTTCTAGTGTAGAAGATAATGTGGTAACTTTTGTGCTAAACATTGCACCTGCAGCTCTAGTAAACGAGGACCAATAGCTTTTCCGAGCTCCTTATATTGCTTTACAAATACCTCTTTTTTTTTGTGAGGCATGGAGATTCCTGAAAATCTGCCAGCTCCTGTGGCCTCTGAAGAACATCTGGAAGAAAACTGGTAGATGCTCTTTTGATTGATACACAGATGCACTTTAAAGCCATCAGAAATCAAATGCATCACTAAGATTCAGCATGCTAATATGCATGATTTAATGTTAAATGAGGATTTTAACAAAATAACACCATTAAAAATTAACAATCAGCATAAAACAAAGAGTAACTTTACTGTACCTTAACAAGAAATGCCTGGAACTGACCACTGGTGCTGTGTTGCCACGTATCACACCCTACATCTGTGGTCCATTATGGCACATACACTCACCCCACAACCACATGTACATATGCACATGTTTAAAAATCATTCAGGAGTCTGCATTTCTATTCCTGCTACACAGAATATAGCTCATTAAAAGCAACGCTTTTCAGTGAAAAGAACAAGCAGGACTTTTAAACTCTGAACAAATCTATTTCCTGTTCAAATAATACAATTGCTTGGAAAAATGTCACCAAGATCATTGTTGTTTGATGAGAAAAGAAGTACTAAACAGTCAGTGTATCTGCACAGAACTGCCAATCAAAAAGGCACAGCAGTTGGGAAGCCTTGAAAGCTCCCTGGGCTCCATCCAGCTGATGTCACAGCAGAGGCCACACATGCTCAGCACCACACTGCAGCATCAGCTCTTTACCTATCATCATTCAAAGTGGAAAGGAAACTGTCCCAGCTAAATAGTTTTTACTGCAAATTTTAATAAAATGGTTATGTTCTGAAGAATAGGAAACAATTCATGTCTCCAAAAAGTCTGCTGTGTTGGGGTTTGGGGTGGTTTTTTGACATACACAGTCTAATACATAGACCTATTGCCAGTTCAAAAGGACGACAGCGAGTATTGCTGTTCCCAGGGGGAGTGTAACACCCTCCAGCTCTGTAAAGCTCAGACTAGCTTCCCTTAATCCTTTTTAAAACCAAGACTTCCTATTAAATTCTTAAGACAAGCAGAGAGTGGTCTGTAGAGACCACCTGGCACACGCACAGCTCCCTGCCACCAGCTGCTGCTCATCCTGCCACTGATACTTAACACCTTTTGGGGATTTTTCCCTCTTGCCATTCTTCACATCCTCACCTTTGGGCTAGCTCTGTCTGCCACGGGCATCTGAATCTGCCACGTGCACCTGAATCTGCCACGTGCACCTGAATCTGCCACACAAACACTGCACAAAAGGCCCAAGTCAGGTTTTCCTCATTAATTCAACAAGAGGTTTGTGTGAAGCAGACTCGAAGTTCTCTGTGTAGTTGCACAGGTGGAGCACATGGGAGCTTCCGCTGCCCTTCCCCTGTGCCTCTTGCCAGAAGCTACAGGAGGCAGAGTCAGCACCATTCTCTGTGAGGTTCTTCAGTCATAGCCTGGTCTGAAAGAGCAACTAAAAACATCCTTCTTTTCTGAGTAAATAACAATTTCTGTAAGAAAAGGTAAGTGGCTTCCTCTACTTTCTGCTGTTCTGATGGAGTATTCATAAATTTTTTTCATTAAATATATTTAATGAAGTTTTGTGAAGTTGATCTGAGACTGTGGTTTTGGTTCATGGTCCAAGTCTGCTCTTTGACACCCATTTCAATGAATTCATGTTCTACAGGATAATGAGCTACCTCACGTATAGAGTAGATTTTGAGGGAATTCTCAAACACAAAGAGCTCGAAGGGCTGGCCAAAAGCTAAGCTAGCACGATTTCTGGTAGATTAATCCCCAAGATCTCCTCTGCATCCTGCTACCACCAGAAAAGTTCCACTGCTAATGCAGGAGCAGCCCCAGTTTCTCTTGTTCCAGTTACCTCCCCTCCCTCATCCTGCGTTGGAGAGGCGTTCCAGGTTCAAGGGTGTATTTCCCCATCGCAGTTCCCAGTTCTTAAGATAAATATGTGTATTTTGTTACATGAAGCTGCTGCTTCATACAGAACTATTCTTCCTTGGTGGGGGCTCAACAGCTTCTGGGGTGTTTACAAAATGTCTGGTGATCACTGCAGTGCTCAAAGGGTAAATAAAATGTTCAGTTTTCTTATCACAGAGGCTGGCCATTCTAAGGTGCTTCTGCTCAACAAGTCACCGGACACTGCTTGTGCTAATTCTCCAACAGCTTTGTTTTGAGAGTGCAGAAAGAAGAGCAGTTAACTCCATCCCAAAATGAATGTTACTAGATTCAACAGAGTAAGCAATTAGCAGCGAACCACTCTGAGGGGTACAGATCCTGTGCAGTCAGTTGTGACTGCGTGTGTCTTGTGCAGCCTCAGAAGGAAATGCTGATAGAAATGACAGCATGCAGCCCCAGTGTTGGGTAAGTGAAAGGTGTGATGGAACTAGTAAGGCCTAAATGCATCAGTAAGTGGAAAACTGATTTGGGCAACATGTATAGTATGCACTCCCTTCACTTTAATTTTCTTTCATGTAAACTCATAGGTTCTTTCAATTTGTATCATCAAAGCACATTTGACAGGTCTGTGCTGAAAATGTATTTTGAGAAATACAAGGTATTTACCCACTCTGTAGTGTCCCAGGTTCCTCTTTCCAAGTAAAACAACCCTCCTTTTAGGGACATCAGTATAGCTTTATTGAATACAACAGTAAATCCCTTCTTAGCTATATTCTACCTGAAGCATTAATCCACTTTTTGCTGAAACACCTTTTCTGTGAAAGCTGTATTGCTGATGGTTCAGCATGAATTGTCAGCAAGTATGCTACTATCTTCTTTTTAATTGCAGCTTCAGCTGCTAAAGAAACTGAAAGGCAGTCACCCCTGCCCTCCCTTTTATGCTCTGAGGGAGAGGGATGGAGGGAGATATGAATGTAGACTCAAATGCCTTTCAAAATAAGGCTACCTGCGAGTGCAGGGTGGATGGGAACAGCCACATAGATGTTACTACATCCTTTGTGATTCAAAGCATCCATGATATTCCAGGAATTACAAAAGGAGATCAACTCCCCTTGTCCAGTCTAGTAAAGTCACATCTAGGATAAGTACTCTCTCACCTTTTTCTTCTTCTTTCTTTTTTTGTCTGACACACAAAGAGATGTGCACCTGGGCAGGGTTGTACATGTGCAGAACACCTCAGAATATCAACACAGTGTTGATAGAGAAGGACACACTTTGAGCACTCGGGAAGAATGTAGGTCTAAAACGTAATGGCTCACTCCTGACAGGGCACGCTGTTACAACAAGTAATAGGCTGGGGGAGGTGGGGAACTAAAAAGAAAATCTCAATTGCTAAAATTGGTTTTACTGACAGAGCAGCAAAGGGAGCTCCTGGTATTACAGGAACAGTATTTGTTCTTGAACAAACAGATACTCTCGGTCCTAAACCTTGTCAGCATCACCATGACACGATATGCTCCAAGTTAGTAACGGGGTCAATTCAAAAGCAGAGCAGCCTCTGCTATAAAGCAAGATGTCAGCAATATGCACTAAAAAAAGTGAGGCTGCTGCTGCCTTGCACTGAAACCTCCCAGTCTTGGGGCTCCAGTTCACATGACTACCTTACCTGACAACAGACATATTTAGCTAGAGACTGTAAACTGAAATAGAACAGTACCTGGTCCTTACCTTTTGTCTCTTTAAAATATCAATTAACTTTAACTGCTTTTTAAAACCCATCATTAGCTCTTCTTTTTGCTTCTGCAGTTTCTTTTTCTCTGCTTTTAATTCTTCAATTGTTTTGCGTTCTTGGTTAGCTGCATCCTACCATAGGAAGGAAAGGAGAAATCCGTAATTTGTGGAAGTGGTGCTTTAACCAATGAAATTGGCATTACGTAACAAAATGACAAACAGCAGCCACATGTGACATTCCTGAAGAGAAATGGGATTAATCACAATATTTCCACATCAATACCTAAAAAATGAAATCTCAAAGATAAAGCTGTGGTTTGCCTGTGTATGTATCAGGTGTATATGGGTACTTCTCCCTTTTTCTGAGCACATCTAATTTTCACACAAATGGGGACAATCACAAAGGTGGTAACTTTATTCTGGACATTTCCTCCTCCTGCATAGGTTGCAGTAGCACTGGCTGAGATAACTTACCAAGCCCTTTGGTGACTTGCTCTAAGCTAATTTCAGGATTATCTGTACAAAACATGATGCTTCCAAAGCTGATTGGGCCTTTTGTCTCTTTCTAGCATCACCCAGCGATTACAGATCACAACTTGTTTTCCTGAGCCACTGTACCTTGTTACTTTGCTTCAGTTTATTCAGCTCCACTTTATACTTTTCTGCTTCTTCCAGGGCCCTGTTTAAGCGAACCTCTGTTGCACTCTGACTGGTTGTGGCTTGCTTCTGTACACGCTTTAGATTCTCCAATTCCTATTTAAGAAGCAAAGAATCAAAACAAACATTATGAATAATGTTATTTTACTGAATCTCATATAGACACACATTTACAGCAAGGCTCACCCTTGAAAACTGAGGAGTCTTCTTTGGCCTGCAGACAGAATCTGTCTCAAAGACAATTAATTCCACCATTAAAACATCCCCTTCTCCTCTGAAATCTTGAAAAGGGATCTTTATAATCTTTGTTTTAAACTTCTCTTAGAGTAATTGTGGAGCTGATCATGTAAGACCACAGGATTGACTGAAAAACCTGTATGCTCAGTCAGAAAAAACCCACTGGTATGTGCCCTCTGTGGCAGACTCTGGAAGGGTGGCTGGTATCTCCAGCTGCTCCCTCCTACCTGTTCCTTTTACCTCTCTTCCCCAGAGATCACTACATGCAACTACCAACAGAAAGTTAGAACAGCCTCCTGAAGGTGGCTAAAGGGAGGAACTATTTAATCTAGCAGAAAATAGCTCTTAGAGTGATTACAGCAATAATCAGAACCGTTCCCTCTTGTCTCTGATGATAGTATTTCAAAGTGCTGTATGTGGGGGAAATGAGAAAAAGAGACCAAGCTGAGGAACGGAATAGTGAGATTAAAGATCAGGGAACATAGATGAAAGACAAAGTAGAAGAAATAAACAATTCTGGCAGAAAGAGAACATCTTGTCATTTGTGAAAAAGAAGCAAGACTTTTTTTTGCAAAGACTATCAAAGTTTTAGTAATAGGCACAGGCTCTTTTAAGCAAATCAGGGTAGAGAGGGTGCTTGTTGTTAACCTTTTACCCTCAGACTGCCTTATTTCTGAGTAATTGCTGTATTTCCTCGATTTCACACCACCTCTTGTGGTGGTTACTTGTGATTTCCACATGACTTATCCAAGAAATACGTCCTTATTGACAAGTGTGTGCAGTAAAGACATGATGGTAAAGTTACGGTGGGAACGGGTAATTTTGCGAAGCTCACAATCTTCTCTAAAATGGATGAAGAAAACAGGAGAATAAGATGCATCTCACTGGCCCTCCAAAATCCTGTTGGTGAATGTGCCTCCTCTAAGAGTCCACAAAACCAGATGTTGCTTCAAGGTTTTTATTTTGTCGCTAACCTGTCCATCTGACTGATTACAAACCAGATGGGAAAGAGCCCAGCCAGTAGAGCAGCAGAGCCCCCCTGCAGCACCTGCATCAGCAGGGAATGCAAATCCATTTGCTGGAGCCTGACCCAAAGAAAACAAGCTGCACAGCCTGCAAACCAATCTGTCTTGTATCAAGATGATGAAGCTGTAAATAGAGTCAACTACATCTTTTGTGCTACGTACTTTATTTTGCATTAATACGAACAGCTTTGGTATGCAGCCTTCCAAGCATTTAATGACCAAAACCACAGCCTGCATGCAATGCAAATTACATATCAGCTAATCATATCATTTAATGAAAGAATTCTAGTCATTCTTTTAGGGCCTTTTGACATTTCCTGTCATACATAATACCTTATCAAGGATATTTTTTTCAAGTCATCTAGTGAGGATGTTTTTAATCTTAAAAATGCCTAACGTAAGTATTTTACTTTGTAAGTAGGCAAGGTTTCTGCCAATTCTCCAATACTTTAAGTAAAAGCTGGATTAATTTTCTCATATAATGTTTCTCTGGGGGGAGGTGGGGGGAAGCACACTACTGTGTTTTAAAACTGCATCCCATTTCCATCTCTGGATTGTCTCCCCTGTTCTGGCACAGCAGAGGCACTTAAATATCAGTAGGGATTGTGACACCAGGGAGCTCATCCACAAGTAACCCACCCAGCAGGCTTGCTTTCCTCCCAGTGGCAAGCATATGCAGCACTTCTATCTTTAGAAAGCTCAGCAACACCTGTCCACCCCCAAAAACATTTGAGAGATGATGTTTGCTTAACGTCAAGCCCTCCTTCAACGCAAATTATAAAACCCTTGCAGGAAGCCTTAAAAGGAGTAAAAGAACAACCTTGGTGTTTCCCTGATCTTTATCTAACACTACAGCAGATTGAATTAACAAGTGAGAGAGAATATAGAGGAAAGAATGTTCTTGTAGACAGGCAGTGAAAAAAGACAGAAAAGATGATGTCATTTATTAGATCAATGAGATGGAGAAAAAAGAAGATGTGGGAAAGAAGAGGGTGGAAGATTCGTGGAGCATCAGCACTCAACTGCTGCCCGAGGTGGGTGTTCCGGCAGAAATATTCACAGAGACCAATCACCAAAAGAATGAGAGGTAAAAATAAACTAATTGCCATGTTTTAGGTAATTTGTGAAAACGAGGTGAGCATCTTTGCCTAGGCACGTAAAAGGAAAAGTAGCTGGGGGATTAATGAAATTGCAGAAATCGTGGAAAACCTGAGGGAGCTTGGGAAAGCATCTGTCACAACCGGAGTCTTCTATCACTTACATTGCAACAGAAATCGCAACAAAAGCAATAAAAGCCCCAAAATCAGAGCTAACGTTTGTGCTATCATCTCAACTATACTTTCTCTATACTGGAAGTATGAGTTTTGAGAGTCTATGGGCGCAGCAGTACAAATTCAGGCCCATGTTCACGGGAAATTATGTTTAAACGTATGTCTAGAATTAATCTACAGCTACATTAATTACATGGTGTTGAATAATACTTCATAACTAAAGAATAAAACAGTTTTCAGATTGCCAAGTCCACAGGAGATTTAAGCAGTTTCTGCAAAATTATTTTTGAATGCATGGTTTTGGTAGATAGGTATTTTTTTATATCAGGAAAAAATGTATGTAAAATAACTTCTGCATTAGCAGAGAACATTCATTACATACACTTGCCTTTTTTTGCTGCCTGGGTATTTAAAGAAGTACCACTATTTGTCATGCTTGTGCCTGACCAGTAACCTTGAGAAATTCTAGAAAACACAACCTATTAGGAACAACTGAAGCAACTGAGGGTGGTAAATCCAGAGCAGTGACCATAGTGGCCATATTCTGGATACAGCAGCTGTAGAGCAGACATGAATAAACTTTGCATCACAACAGACATCTAAATACTGGGATAAACTTTCTAACTGTGGCTGTGAATAAGAACCAGCATAGACTGTCTGAGGAAATTATGGAAATCGCCATCATGGAAGGCTTTAAGTGTACGTTAAACAAACTTATCTCCAGGTGGGTTTGGATATAATCTGTCCTGTCTTGGTTTAAGAGAATGGCCTAAATGACTTTGTAAATCTCTTAGTCCTATTGACTGTGAGTTGATGAACAATATGAGTACTTTCATTGAATATTTTTTCCTGACAGAATCAACCATCAGGGTATTTATTTGAGGGAACTTAAAACCTCCAAGTATCTGCACAAAAGAACACAAACTTCAAACATTTTAAAAATGCTAGAACTACAAAATTTAGATTGTAAGTTAAAATGCCAGAACTAGAAAGCTTAAGATGAAAGCCTGCCTATACAAATGTGTAATATGATTTAATGGAAGTAGGAGTTGTGTTCTGTTTTCCCCAGTTTTTTAAGTGAAACATTCTCCTGGTTATACTACATGTGCTACACAATACTACATGTATCACAGGATTGTGAAGTCAACTTCTCCCACTCTGAGTAATTAAACTACATGCTGCTCTTAGGTGAAGTTCCAAACAGGCTAAGCTGTGTATGCAGCCATCTGCTACAACTAGGCACGTATACAAATTTGCATATGTGGCCTACACAGGAGACAGGTTAATTTTGATTAGTTCGTTTTCAAGCCCAAAGACACATCCTTTTCTCTACCTGCAGAAGACACTAGTGTAAGCCACAGGTGAGGTTTTGGTTTGTTTTTTAAAGCTCACCAGGTTCTACAGTTTACGCTAAAATTCTTATTACCAGTAATAATTTTTGGCAGTTATAATTAAAACCAGCAAAATAAAATTTCCCTGTATTTTTCAAGATTCCTTTGTGAATGTGACACCGGTTTCTGAAATAGCTGGTTTGTCTCTTGCAGGTCTTTTACACAAGAACTTAATTGTTTTAAAATACAGAAATATATGATCGTAGAAGCAGAAGAAAAGCAATTCACAAAATGAACTATTTCTTCCTTTGAAAAAGTGGTAAGACCATTTAAAATTACAATTTCTAAAACTATTATCAGAGACTGAGACACTAATGGGATCAGTGGATACGTATCTATGAAGCTAGGAGAATGTGATGCAGTGTTTTTCCCCTTTTGTGAGACAAATGAGACTAACATCTGTAATACCTTTCCTAGTGCAGTCACTTCTTGTTGTAACCTTTCACTTTTTCTGCTTGCTTCTTGTGACAACGCCTTGTACTTCTCACTCAGAGAACGTTGTGCACTGATGGTTCGTTGCAGTCGGGCGTTTTCTTCTTCGGTTTCTTTAAGCTGAGACTTTAGATTCTGATTTTCATCATCCTGTTTGACAGTAATTAACAGACACCTGAACTTGATTATTGCAAGGAAGCAGCAGGATAATGCAATAGTAACATTCTGTAAATAAGAGGCAGTAAAAATACACGTATTGTACATATGGCGATCACTATTTTAAAAATCATTAAAGATCCTTCTTGATGGATTTCACAACAGTTTCAGAGAGAGGAAGGAACTAAGAGAAACTAAGAAAACAAAACACTGATTTACCAGGACAACAACCCAAAAGATAGGAACACTTTCCTCATTTAATTTTCTGCAGTCTTTTACTTGGAACTGTCTTATAGCAGTATGTAAAACATTTAATTTTGCATAGGTCAAAGGTTTTGAGAGCTACCTATGAAAATGTTATAGAATAGTATGAATAACAGAGGCACCTTGGTATTTTGTGACACTTCTGCAAGAATAGCTAAATGCACTCATTAGGAAAAATTCTGGGAAAAAGAATATAATTACTGATAAATCAATCCATTATGGTTTAGGAGATTATCTGGTTTTGACTTAAAAGCAAGCTAATGATCCAGGATACATCAAGTATTCAAATTCAAGATTCTCTTAACATCAAGTGAATCCTGTATTAGATTCATGACCTACTGGCAATTACATCCCACATTAAGCATTATAATTTCAATGCATTTTTCTTTTCTAACCTTTTAAACATTATAAGCGAATATTAATGTTAAGTTATTTCAGAGATACATTATGCCCTTCATTCCTTTAAGCAAAAGAAATCAAGGCACACAGAGAAATGGAATTTCCATGAAAACAGATCTTCCTCTCCTGTTCTCCCAGCAGCTAGGAATACATGCTTCTCACCTGGGAAATACGTGCTTTACCCTAAGTTTCATGTGCCCACACGCACCTCAGAAACTCCTAGTTCTTTAGACTTAAACCAGATTTACTGCTTCCTTAGAACTGGACTGTGAACTGGAACAAAACCAGAATCTACCTCAAGGCTTTGTGTGTATGAAATTTTTGTGACCTTCTGAACGTAATTAAGTTATTTTCAGACCAGAGAAACTAGAACCCAAAATGATATGTTTAGATACAGAGTGCTATGGGACCAGGACAAGAATAAGTACCAGGTCATCCTCTGTCACCTGCTATAGTAACAGAATTCTGTGGTATTTTTGGACTGAAATTATGAAGTTAAGTAGCTACTGACAAAATTATATTTGATTTGAAAATGAAAATGTCTTTAAAATCTAATAACAACTTTCTCCTGCTCACGGCATCAATGTATTGAGATGCAGAAGCACCTGTATTGATACAAGTGAAATAAAGGACAAAGTACAGATATAAAATACCAAAATCTAATTCCTTCCAAAGATTTTCTCCAGGTACCTACCTCGCAAAACTTATTTAATATCATCCTGCTCCTCAACTCCAAATTAAAAGCTTTAGAGAAAAAATATAGGTGGTTTGCCATATATTCTGAATGTGACCATCACATTTGGGCCTGAGGAATAGGTGCAAAAAAGCATTCTGAAGTTGAGAGACTACAACTAAGAATGATGTAACCGTGGAAAATGGAAAGGTAGTTCAAAAATCTTCCTTGATTACAAATACATGAAAAATAGGTGATCCCTCTGGCAGGCAGACACAAACTATTTAAGGTTTTACAGTTCAAGAGATGTTTAAGCATTACCTGAAAACATATTGCCAGACAGTGCAGATCCTAAAACTCACTTGTATACACTAACAGTAAAACACCAGCACAGCTTCACAATGCCTTAACTTCAGCCTGATCTGCCCAAATATGTAATTCCAAATACAATCCTCTGATTATCCATTGTGATTATTTGTTAAAGGGGAGCTTATTCTGTTTCTACAGACAAGAAAACAGCTCGTACCTTTTTCCTGCATTCACACACTACACTAGCCAGCTCTTCTTGTGTAACACGTAACGTTGCCTTAAGAAATCTTACTTGAGCTTCTGTGAACATAAAAAGTTGCATTTAATATCCACAAGTACTCATTATTCAATGCGGTAAAGAAGCAAGACTGATGTAAGAACTCACTTTCATCTTGTTTTTAAAAACACGTTTTAATTATTAAGAGAAGGTGGCAAATAAAAACTCAGCTTTCTAAATAAATATTTCAAGTTTCTCACTCTTTGGCAAAGCTTTGTATAAATTTTTCTTTTAATAACTGAACTCAATATCTTTAAAAGACTCATAATTCTCAAAATTGCAACTTACTGGAAACTTTTGGTGTACTATGCTATACATTACAGCATTCCTTGAGATTGAAGTCAAGAAAACTGTATTGTAGGGTATATCTACACTGCAATCAATCTGTAGTTGCAATTTGTGTAGTTACACCCAAAGTAGTTTTAAACTGTTCATAAGGAATTAAATGTAGACTGCAAAACCCTCCTAACAAGTAAACGCCTCCCAGAGAGTAACTATGCTTTTTCAAAGTACACTGCTAACATTATTCAATTAATAGTCTAAAATCAAATTAATTTAATCAGATGTTTTTTTCCAAATGAAGTACTTGCTTGCTCTTGGACAGCTAAGAAACATACTACTGTCATGACAAAATAAGCTCTGTGTGAACACTTACGTTCTTTTACTATGTATTCCCCACCCTTTCCCCAGATCACTCACAAGGAACTCCCCCTGAACTTGCACAGACACAAAGCATGGGAACAGTAGGAGTGATCAAGCTGAGCAACGTAGGAATAACCATTATTCACAGTAGGTACAAGGGGAAAAGAATAAAGTGGAGGATTATCAGGAGCTGCATGTGAAGGGATGGCTGGCTGCATGTGTTCACTGAGTGAAATTAAAAGAATTTTAATTTCCCTTAACTGCCAATTGCAGTTTAAGTTGTAACTCTGCAGAGGCCAATTTTAAGTAGAATTTAGGAAAACACCACCAAAAAACCAAGATACAAACCAACTTTTTTCCTCCTGTTACATCCTTGCTACTTTCTAGTACGAGTAGCTGTCTGGAGATGGTGACCATATTGAAGCCACCAAGTTTAGCATTCTTTCATGTACTTCTATACTATTAAGTTGTTTGGTTTTCTTCATAAAATATATTGTAGTTTGGCATTCACAATATCCTGTGGCAATGAGTTGGCTAATTTAATTATGCATTGTGTGAAAGAAAAACAGTTTGTATAGCTTGCTTTAAATCCAATTTAAGGGGGCATTTACTAGTGTTTGCCATACAAAAAGACAGCTTTCCCTTTCCCATTACAGTTTTCATTATGGAATATTTCATACTGCCCTCATTTGTTTTGTTTTCAAATTGAAAATTCAAATTCAAGTTGTTCCATGCTTTCAACTGCTACCATATATATTCTTTCCTGTATTTTTCCTAGTTCTAGATCCTGGTTTTGAGAACGGCTGTGCAGAACTGTGAGTCCTACTCAAGAATGGGGGTAGTATCAAATATAGAACAGCGTAATTCAAACAGTACAATATTTCGTTTTCTGTTATCTTCTGAAGGATTTCTAATAATCAGTTTGCCTTTTTCACTGTTAAGAATTAAGTTTATGCTTTTGGAGATGTCTCAATTGGTAATAACTGAACAAAGTCCAGCTCAGAAGAAGGTGTAATTGGAGCTGGTTTTTCAGCATTGCTTTGCACTCTTTAATGCTGAACATAAACCTACATTCTATCACCTCACTCAATACTGAGATTTCTCTACAACACTTCAATGTCAGTTCTAACTAGCCTAAGTTGTTGTTTCATATACAAATTTCTTTACCAGCCGTAATTTTTTTCCAGATTATTTTCCTGTATATTGAACAACGTAAGCTCCATGCAGGGCACTCCAGGGCTATACCACTACCTGCAAAACCTGGTCGTATCTTTTTACCATTTTGTTTCCTGTTTTACTCAGTTAGTCCACAGACAACTTCTCTTACATCTTAGACAGCTCTGTGTCATTAAGAGAACTTAGCAGTAAGCCTTGTTGAAAATCCAAGAGCACAGCTAGAACCAGATCAGCTTTAGGAGGTGGCTATGATCCAAAGCAAGTTTGAATTCTCACAAGAGATAAAGTTAATTAAACAATTAGTTTCCTAATGGGTTGCTTTTAATCACCTGATGAGGCTGATAAAGGGAGGGGTATCACTTAATAGGATGGTCTTAGTTTATGAAGTAACTAACAGTTTAGGGAATAGCGGGTAGGAAAGGGGTAGTTGGGAAGTTTTGGTGTTCTGTATGAATGGTTGTCTTGAATTTCTGAGATATTTGAAGACTACTAACATGAAGTGTGACAACACAGGTATGTTGTTCATATGTGTGTGGGTATATTAGATAAAAATAGAGCTTCATGTTCAGCCTTCTATGTGTCTGTGTGCTTCTATCACTGCTTCTTACTGCAGAGCAGAGTTATAATCCACAAAAGCAGGCCCTGAGAAAAATGATGTGTAAAATCCTGTGTTGGCAGAAAGTGGCTGCACTGTGACAACCTCTGATCATGAAATAGAGACATGGAACCTAAGTCCAAGATGAGCACAGCAAGAAGCTCAGGGAAAGGACAATGCTATCAAACATTACCAGCACATTGGCCTAAAAACTCTACCACAGGCACATAAGCCCAAGGAATCACTTTACTGAGAGATTCCAACTAAGGGATCAGGCTGCTCTGTTACAAGGGCCTATTTAGTTCTCTACATTTACTTCAAACTGTTGGATTAAAAGAGGAGGTTTGGGGCATTTTGTACTGCTGCAATGAATCTCTGACTTCATGCTTGCTTTAGCATTGTAAGAAACTATCTAAACTCACTTTTATTATACCTGAGCCAAAAAGACAGATGTGCATCATTCCTTTAGCTTCACTGGCAAATGCTGCAATCCCCTTTCCTGCTCTGTTTCTAGGACAAACATAAACACACCATGTGGAGTGGAGAAGTATCTGGAGAATTCTCATTCAAGCACTGTAACTGAAGCATTACTTCATTTAAGCTACTTACTAAGATCCGCAGCCCCGATCTGAAGAAAGCTTTTTAACTCTAAGGGCAGAATCTGCAAAGGATGGAAGTTCATCTTTTTGGAAATAGAAGCTTACTATCACATCTTTCTATTCCCCCAGTAAAATGAATCAAATGTTATGCACAAATTTGACATACGTAACCACTCAAATATCTTCCTACAAAGGTAGAAATCAAGATAAAAATTCACTTCTTCACATGATTATTCATATGTGACCTGATCTTTCTCTAGGACTACATAAAGAAGAAACACCTTCTTTTTCCTTTGCCTTTAACTTAAGAGCTTTAGAACTTTTCCTCTAATTTCTACAGAAACTCTTCCTTTATTTTTTTGTGCAGGAGAACCCATTTCTAACAGTCAGGAAAGAAAAATAAAACTACTTACCCACAGGAGGAAACCTACCTGCTCCAATTTCATTTCCAGCACTTGGAATAGCATCATCATCTAGACAATCTGGTAAGCCTCCTTTCTCTAGTTTTTCTTCAATTTTACTTATTGTTTTTGCTGAAGAAAAATCTGTGCAATCCTCCAGTACTGCAACAGCATCAGCACTTTGTGCTTCCAGGTTTCTTACTTTTGAGCTAAAAAAAAGCAGACCTTACATTTTAAGTGTATAATTTAACATTTACAAAAATATAGTGTATTTGCTATTTTTAAGAAAATGCAAATTTATTTACCTAATGCAACTTCATTGCTTGCATTCATATGAAAGACACATTGATGGCAATTTCTCATTTTCTTTATGTAAGATTCCTTTACTGCATTCCACATAAACAATTACAGTGATTTACATATAATGTAGAGGGCAGAGAAGCCAGTACTATTTTCTACTGAGAAGATTCTGGCATGATCTTCTCATCCAACAACTTCATAACTAAATCAGAGTAAAAGTAAGAAACAGGAATGTTCTCTTGGCTTTAGCTACTGTTCTTTGCCTTAAATTCAGCTATTTCCCCCCACCCTGCATCTTAACTGACAGAACTCTGTCCTTTCTAGCTATACTCCCACCTTACCACAATTTCTGTATCATTATGCCTGGCTTAGGAAACTTCACTGATCCTGGAAGCAGCATACCAAAGTTTTCATAAACTCAAAACACAAGGTGTGTGACACAACTGCTACACAGGGTAGCTCCTCGTCTTTCTTTTATAAAAAGATGAAGTAGTTCCTACAGGAGCTGAAGCTTCTAAATTCTTACTCCAATATATCCTTACCCCAGTGCAGCTGCCAATCTCCTAGCTGCTAACTTTCTCCCACAACCTTGGGTGCACCCAAGGCCCTGCAGCTGCACAATTTCACTTCTAAATCTCATGTAGTGGTGCCAGCATGACAGCCTCCCCTGAGCTGCCCAGGAGAAGTCCAGAGGGTCCACAAGTGACTTCCAAGTCCTGAAAGACAACCTCGGCCTGTGTCAATTACATGTTCTGCCACCTTGCAGCCAGTTTTCGTCCTGTTTTGGCATCTGTCCGTATCTTGTGGCAATTTTAATTTGCTCCCAGGATTTTATGCATTTCACTACTCTTTCCTGTCGTCCAGATCTCCATTTCTTGCTTTTACAGCCTTGAATTTGCTATCGTCAGAGATGAAGCTTTTCAGCTTAAAACTCCAGAAAGCTGTAGTACTATTACTGACTCTCTCTTGTCCTGTGAGACCAAGATTCACCAAAATAGAGGAGACACTCGAGAGCCTTATTTCCCATCACAAGTCTGATCATAAATAAGTCTGCACCACCTAAGTGTGCTCTCTCAGGTTGATTCAGATTATGTATTTCCCACATGTATGCTCATTAGGCATCCTTTCACTTGAGTTAAAATTTAACTGTCAGCCCTGAGAATGCTTGAGCAGAAAGCAACAGTTTAATTGTTGTAATATTAATCACACATGTTCCCTAATAATTTCTGGTATGTTCTTGGTGAGCAGAGATAGCTACATGGTGGAGCTGTCTGAGCAGGACCAAAAGTCTGATACATTTATTTACACAAGTATATATAAATATAAAAGCATACATGAATAAAAATAACCTGATAGACAAAAATAGCAACTAAAATATTTTATTACAGTCAAAAAGAGGTGTGTAATATATACCTTGAAGTTGTTCTTTTCCCTTTATTTCCAGAGTACGGTCTGTTCTGAGCCATGGGCATGGAAGCATGTTTCTTGTTTGCTGGCTACAAATTTTTTCAGAAAGTAGTGATTTATTTTTGTTTTAATTAGTTAGGAATTACTTTTTTCCCTTTTTTCCTAGTGCCTTGTGCATGAAATTCGTTTGTTTTCTTCACATATTTAGACTCAAGGATACTTTTCAAATTTTCAGAAGCACAATTTTTCAGTTTTATTTGCACTCATTTTTATCTTGCTACTTTTATGACCATAAGCCCAAATCATAATACATCCAACAGTCAGTTGTTTGTGGGAGGTTTCGCACACGTACTCATAATAAATTCAGGCATAAGTAAGGCTCTTGGCCATCAAGTTATTAACTACTGGGCTGTCACAAGAGTGCCTTTCTTTTAGAACTTCATACTTTCATACCTTCAAAACCATGCTATCTTTATGCATATTTTATTCTCATCTTACAAATTCCCTGTAGAAGGAAGATCTAACAATATATTTGCTACTTTCACCCAAACAAAATTTCTACTCTATTCTGATAAATAAGGACAGTATTTCGGAAGTTTTAGCTCACCTCCTAAAAGATTCAGTGTAATTGTAACTGGAGACCATTTCTCAGTCTCCTTTTCCCATTCTATTTCCTTTCCTGTACTCAGTTATTTTGACTACTTGTTTATTATTACACCTAGAAGACAGTAGCACTGCCTTTAGTGTTATACTGGTGGGAAAGGAAAGAGGAGAAAGGAAGAAATTAATTATGTTTTAATATTTTGCACTTAATTTGATGTTCCAAACACTGAACACTTCTGTGAATGCTTTACAGAAGAGGAAACTCAGAACACAAGAATAAAATATAAGCCCACTTAACCACCAGTGGCACTGAGAAACCCTGGTAACACAGTTCCTGTAGCACGGTTTTGAACATCATTTCCTTTTGGCTTCCCACCCATGTAAGTCCCCAGTGTAGTACAGCCTCAAAACCAAAAGTTATACATGGAAATCATACTAGAAGACAAATGAACCAGGATAGTTTTAACTTTGATACCTTAGTGTGAGAGTGTGTAAGAGAAGAAACTTGAGGACAGAGTGGATCTCTGCAGAAAAAGATGAAAATAATTAAAAAATCACTGAACGTGTATAACAAACATTTTACAATAAAAATTGACACCCTCCTGCCAGAATTAGTATAACATTTTATATGTCTGAAATGAATACAGCTAAGATAGGAACACATACTAAGTTCAATCATAAATTCAGTCTCATTCTCTGTGTTTCCAATCCACCTTACTTGCTATCTAAATCACGAGGTGAGTTGAGGGTGTCTAATACAGCAGTTCACTTAGGTACCACAATCTGAATCTCTTGCGATTCAGGTGACTGCTGCTTATCTGCTTATTTGGCTGAAAACCATGCTGCTTAGTAGCTGAACTTCAGGTTAAATGATATTATTTTTCTGCTGGGAAAAAAGCAGAAAGTTTTAGCATGCTTTCGGTTTTGCTTTCAGAATGAATTAGGTGCATCTGTGTTATTGCACTGAAAGGCTACCTTTTTACTACCCTTTATAATTCTTTTACTTCAATTAAAATGCTGTCTTATAAAAGATCTGGAATAAAATTTAAATTTAGGCACATCAAGTCACCTCATTTTTTTCCCCAGCTGATTTGAGCAAATGTTTAGATATTGCCTTTAGAAATTTCACAGACATCCATTCAGCAACAAGAATTATCTGCACAAAGCTCCATATTTTATTAAAAAACCCAAACAAACAAAAAAACCAACCCCCCAAAAAAACCAACAAAAACCCCAACCAACCAGCAACAAGATGAACAAAAACACAACTGGAGAAATCATCTGTGTGTGGCTGGCAACAGACTTCAAGAATAGGATGATTAGTTTTTGTCTATTTACCCTATTTTCCACATGCTTCCTTCCTATTGGCTAGCATTAGGAGCATGCAGAAGGTGAGGATTTGCTGCCATAGAAATAGCAGTTTTATGTTATTCTGAAAAATATATGAAAATACAATGCTTTCTGTACTCAAGAAGACAATAATGTTCTTTCCATCAATAGACTAATCTGTTCCTGCTATGGCTGTTGTCTCAGGGCCTTCTTTAAAAAACAGGAACAAAAAAAACCCTTATTGTTCACTGAATTCCTCAAACTTGTTTAACCTTAACGATTTATTTCCACCTCCCCACACATGACAACTCATTTTTAAAACCTCGTAATACAGTTCTATAGTTGTGTGGTAAGTGAAATGAATGTGTAAATCCTGCAAAGGTATATAAGTAAGTAGCTGGAGTATTGTGGCAACACCGAAACAGAAGCTAATGTTTCACAATTCCATCTCTGCATGTAAACAGGAGGTGCATGTGCATGAGCAAACCCTTTGTGTTTGCTAATCCTATTCAAAGCCTATAGCATGCTTGTCCATGCGCACAGTTCCCATCGCCATGAGCCTGGCAGTACTCTGCGGAGGGAAAGTGTAAACAAAAGCTGATGTCAGTGTGGTGTCACTGGAGCTGCTTTGTCTCTGCATAATTCAAGTTTCTCTGTAAAAAAACAATGCAATAAAAAGTCCAAAACCACCTATTTTAAAACACACACTGACTTTTGAGAGTAACTTGCATTTGTTGCCCTTTTTTCACTTTGCTTAATGATTTTTTTTTCTCTAAACCTATCTTTTCTTTTTTCCCCTTGTACTACATCTTTCAATGGAAATTTCAAATGGATGTTTCAAAAATCTCCCAAGTGCTCCCTTTAGATTTATGGTCTATCTGCTTGCACAATTTTTTGGGGAAAAAAAAAAGATCTAAATTAAATATTAAATACTTGGAACTAATCTAATTGAATGGCCTCAATGTTCACTCATGGATAATCAGTGTGCCTAATTCCTAGCACACATTTCTGGTTTTTTTCACTACAGTATGGATTTCAATTCTTCTGTCACATAAATATCTGCCAGCACACAGAGTGTGGTTGGTTTAAGGTATTTTAATTTTTTAAAATTAAAAAAATTTTGTTGCTTTAAGGTGTTTTAAGGCGTTTTTCATTTACGTAGGTACTTGGTAGATCAGCTGCTTCTCTGACATGCAAATTGCCAATATCTGTTTTTAATTCTTCCAGCGCTCCCATTTATTTCAAATGCATACCATCAAAGCTATTAACCTCCTTTGTGGGGCTGAACCCTCCAATCACATTACTTCATAAACCAGCCCTATAACTTAACTCTAGTTTGAAGTTCTTAAAAATCTTCTACTGTTCAAAATCAATTTAACAGAACATAAAACTAAAGCAAGATCCAGAATTTGTTTGCAAAGGATGATGATACTGGTAATACATGGAGTTTCTTTTTTTTTTCCCCCCTCTACAGCTGACAAATATGGCTTTCAAATAGCTCAGGAATAATTTTAACTAACTACAGCAGCAAACTTCTGATGGTATTGGGCGACATAGTTTAGTGTGTGGTGTCCCTGCTCATGGCAGGGGGGTTGGAACTAGATGATCTTAAGGTCCTTTCCAACCCTAACTATTCTATGATTCTATGGTATAGCCAGGCTTCTATCACAGACTTGCTGTCACACTTTTTGTGTACTGAAAAACCCTTTTACGGCCATAAAGAAACCCTCACTTTTTGGTTTCACTTTTGCTCTGCACAGAAGTAATTATTTCATCATTTCTAGCAGACTTTCATATATACTATTTTAAGTTTCCCAACTGCTTTACTTTTGAAGCACCTTGTAGTCTTGCCCTGTATCTCTGTTATCTAGCTTAGTGGCTTTGTAACTTTAGGAACCTAACAGATCAGATCCTTGATAAAGTGTGTATTAGTCCATCTTAAATTCACCCACTTCCTGTGCTGTCAATATACAAACCCTTGAACAACTAAGTAAATAATAACGCCCCGACCAGCTAAGTAAACACAGCTATGTATCCACGGCAGTGCTAACGGGCTTGAATTTAACAGGCCAAAACCCACAGCCGTATGTACGTTCATACAGGCCAAAGCTGCCGGACTCAGAAGTGTAATGATACCCAAGTTCCAGAGGGTGGCAGCTGAATGTTTGTCTGTCTTGGGTTTTTCTGTGTGTTGGGGTGGGGGTGGAAGAGGATTTTTTTGTTTGTTTGTATGGTTGGGTTTTTTTAATCAAGCACTTCCTATCCCAGGAACATTTAGGCCAAGTTAAATGTGAACCACTATCTGTTTATTCGCTTTGTCAGCTGAACTGGTTACAAACCATCTACTGCCGTCTAGTGCTTTGTACTGCGAATAAACCTGTTGCCTTACCTTGCTTTTTTACAGTTATCAACACTACTTAGCATCCTAGATAGAACATTTCCTCAAAACGAAGTCTTCCTTGAAATAACAAGGAACAACATTTACTTAGCATAAATTGTTTCAAATAATAGGAAAAAATGAGACTCCACCAATCCAATACGCTGCAAAGATAGATTAAACAGGAGCATGACCAGGGAGCAAGGCAGGGTGTGCAGGATCAGTGTAAAGATTTCCCATCAATTATATGCAGCAGTTGTGAAGCACATACCTCTGTTTGTCATCTGCAGATGACACAGTCTGTACTGACCCTGGTCTAGACAGTATCTCCCTTTGGCCTTTCTTTATTTAAAAAAAAAAAAAAAAGAAAAAAAAGAAACAAAAAAAGGTCAATTTTTGGGTAATATAATCCATTACAGATTAATTACATATTAATAAATCACAGATCACAACACCAGTCCACTATGGAAACTATAGTCTAGTGTGTAAAAGAACTTCTCAAACACAGGAAAGGATGAGGAAAAGTTAAAATGTCATTGCTATATCCCATCATTTATTCCAGCTCCACAATATGCAATTGCCTTTTGCCTGTAAAACTGCCCAATTTAGCATCATCTGAGACACTTTTACCCTCCCTCCTTTTTCTCTGAAATACAGGAAGTAGCAAACGCACAGCAGGTAGAACAATTTTTCAATTTTCCATATTGTATAAACCTTAGAAATGAATCTTTCTTCTTTCAAAACGACTATAATTGGACACTGATATTGCTGTATGTACTTCAGAGAACAATTCAGTCTGAATGTTCAGATAGCTTCTATACTGCTAAGTTACAGTTAGAATGCATAATCCACAACAAAATGCAGTTGTCCTGTTTGGTGTTTTGTTTTTTGGGGGGTTGTTTAGTTTGGGGCTTTTTTGTTTCATTTTTAACTGAGAGTATTTTTCTCCTGTTGTTAAATGTGTATCTGTGCAATCTGGCAGTGCCATGTGGTATATTAAGTGTCCTAAGAATATTTGATCTTCTGCTGTATTTGGAGAAGGGAAAAAAAAACAAAACAAAAAAACCCAACATGTGGTTTTGCTGTTGCTGTTTTTTAAAGGAAAGAGACTAGATGCTATTTTGGCCGTTTCATCTGCTTCTGTTCAAATGCCAAGCAGTTAGCCTCAGCTTGTCACTGCTCAAGAGAAGAGTATGTTTTCACAGGACATAAAAAGGAAGTTTCAGCAGCAGGAAAGGTGCCTACAAGTATAGCTTTCCTGAAGACTTAATAATTTGCTCTTGAAGCCTTATTTATTGAGTGCATTTACAATGAATGTATCTAATACGTAGAACACCTTCTCCAAACTGTTTTGGGCATAAACCATACCTCCCCCATTCCCTTTTTTTAATTTGTCCAAGTTTCCTATAAAGCCTTGACTCTATCTGCTAAACAGCCACATCACTGTTAAAAGATAATACAAAGACAGGAAATTTTTCTGTTTTAAGATTTTCTTCTTACTAACCAAATTTTTTCTATTTATGCTGCTTGTTCTTTGTATTTCTTTCAGTTGGTTTTTTTTTTTTAGTATTTAAGACATAAACCCAGATACTTTTCCTAAACAGCTAAGATTTTACGTGGGTTTATGTGTATATCTGTGCAAATGCTGTATGCATCTGTGTGGTTATCTAACTACCTGATGGAACTATATAAAAATTGGTTTTGGATGTGTTCCTAGTAGAAGTTTACAATCTTGGGGGGAAAAAAAAGAAATTAAAAGCTTTTAGTTGTCTAAATAATTAAATAATTTCTTTTGAAAACTGGACCCTGCGTGCATGTGAATCAAGGCTGAATCATGTAACAGTCTGCACAATCTACTCACCATTACTTCTTCAGCCTGTCGCACCAGTTTCTCTGTTTTTGCTTCTAATTCTGCATTCAGCCGCCTGAAAGAGTAAGAATGTTCGTCACTGAGGTTTTGAAAGATTTAAAAGAAATGAATGTAAGCATGAGGGTACCACTGCCTGAACTAAGTGAAATTTTAGGAACTTCTACAAAGAAACACCAAAATACCCTTCAGAGTATTAACAAAGCTGTTTCAACAATTTCCTGGATTTCTGTCATCTATATACCATTAAATAGTAAGGCTGAGACTGTAATTCTGAGAGGTGAAGAGTTTTGGCCATGTCATTGCTTAATACACATTTTACGGCTTCGTTTCTTCCATGCTTTGTTTTTACCACAGTCCTTAAGTATACTTAGCAGCCAGGGTTAGGACAGGAATCACGCACAGCTACATTTCTTGATCACATAATTCAGCTGTGTCGCTATACATATGTACAGGTTAACATAAGCTTGTGTTCTTGCATGCTTCACTTCACAGCCTCTCCCGCAGTGTGAGTCACTGAGTGTGAGACACGGCTCCCTGTGCATCCTGAGCACAGGTAACAGCGACTGCTTCTACATCACTTTCACTGCATTTGTCACACGCTTTAGAGCTTTGAAGCTTTTTGGTTTGTTTTTTCTTTAAAGACTTAAGTACTTATACGTTCATAATTTAACAGTAATGTCAGTGTTTTAAACGCAGAAGTTTAGTGTCCAGTGCTGTGGGATCAAAGCGAGGCCTAGCGCAGCGCACAGCCCGCCTGTGTGCGGCGGGCGCAGTTAAACATGGCTCGTGGTACTCTCCTCTCCGCTTCGGCGGAGCTAACTGAGGGGTTCGGGTACAGGGGTTCACTGTAAGCCCCGCCGGGACGGGGAGCGGGACGCGGCTGAGGTGACACGGCCTGGCCGCCGCCCGCGGCC